TAGATCAGCCCAGAGGTTGTTTCATGGTTCTATCTGTGAGTTAGCCATGCCCTGACCTAGATCAGCCCAGAGGTTGTTTCAGGGTTCGATCTGTGAGTTAGCAGTGTCATGACTTAGATCAGCTAGAGGTCGTTTCAGGGTATCGATAAAATTGGTCGTTAAAGGAAACCCTCGATTTATAAGATACAAGTGATAAAGTTGTTGTTATATCTTAACCGGTTTCACGGCTGGTGCGTATAGAAGGAATGAAGGAAGTTATTTACATTCATATTTTAACAGGAAGCTTCTTCACTTATAAATGTGATTTTCAAGAAGGTCCTGATAAGTAAGATATTTTTACAATAATATGTAAAAAGAGAATTTGGAGGTTGAATATCGAAACCAGCTCGTTACTGAAAAGTCAAAATCATTATTACTAGTATGTAAAATTGTAAAAGATGAAAAGTTCAGATTATTTAGGTTTACAGGTTTAAAAGAAATTCGATTTAAAGTGGCCTTAATATTAGAACACTGTTTAAGAGTGTCACTCAGATTGTTCCATTCTTTAATGGCTTGAAACTGCATTGTTTGTTTTCCCCAGTTAGTTTTGGGTCGTGGTAAGCGAAACTCGSTTCCATGCCTCGTGTTGTAGCCATGCTCATTGAGCTTATTCAGCTTTAGATTTGATGATAATAATCTGTTTTTACATTTGAATATATGTAAACATCGATGGTAGTATCTGCGCTTACTAAGTTATAGATGGATGTTTTTCACTGTTTAGCAAGTTTTTTCGTAAGGAAGTGGAAAAATAGAAAAATGAAAAGGGATAAGAAAGAAAAGAGGAAGAAAATGAAAAAAGGGAAAAAGAAAGAAATAAGAAGTCTCTGTTAGAAGGGAGTACAATAGCATAAAACAAGTTCTGTGATCTTTCCACAGATCCCTGCACAAACCATGAGATGCGTAAAGTATGTCCTACAGCGACACGAAAAGGAGGTAGAAAACTGCTTCGCTGGAGGGTTTGCATAGATGCCTACAGGATTAACGACCATGGCTACTGACAAGGAGATAGAAAATGGAAAAAATACTTTTTTTAATCCCACAGAATTGAAAAACTGATTTAGTCAATGAACGACTGAAATAATTTTTGCTTTTAAATTAATTAAATTCAAATTTATAATTCTGTGATACAACTTGATTAAAAATACACTTATATTTTTCTTGAATTTGTGAATCCATGGTATTTATTTTACCGAGTTAAGACTATCTTCATAAAGGAGCTAAAATTTTGGGCGGGAAACCACACGCGTCCGCTTCTCAAGTTCAACGCATGCGCGGTCGCTTACTCGCGGTGTGCAATAAAGAAGAAAGACGGGTAATGCTTTGTATTTTAAGACACTTTTTTAAGAACCGATAAAAAAATTCTCATCATTTCCTGACTGCATTATTCCCGTTACAAATAGAATTATTCAGTCTCAATGACTGGAGATTAAATATCAATAATTTAATGAAGTTCTCAAATCTGTCGCGTGTATCGAGACTACTTTCTCATTTGTTCCCCTTTTTTCTGGCCGCGTCTGTCTGCACAATATAATATTGTATATATATACATAATATTGAGTAGCTATTACAGTTTTTAAATAGCTTATTCTCAACGTGGGAGATCCGATACGCTTTAGAATGAGACACACAGTCGATCATTAGTGATACTATTAAGAACACTCACTTTGGTAAATTCTACCAAGTTCTTTTAATTTTTTAGAATTGGTTATTACTTAGAAACAAACGTTTGCCTGGGTCGAGTTTAGACACACAAAGACGTTGGGGACGGTCACAGGGGATACACACGTAGAAACAAACACGGCGGAGTGTATAAGAAAGATATATCTGATAAAAAATAGAAATAATTCAAACCGAAAAGCATATACTAGATGCAAAACTCGTCGAAAGCGTCGACAATATTTAGCTGAACACTGAACCGGAAAAACCATATAAGATGTCATTCTCTTTTTTCACGTCCCTCTAAGTTCTATCACTAAGGTTATGACCGTACAAAATTTATAGTCATTTTACATACTTCAGGCATCATTAAAATAATAAGACTTTATTCCTATCATAGTATCATCCTTTTAGTAAAACTCAATCTGACATTATAAAGAAAAAATTCAATCCTATTAAATTAAAATTAACAATTTCTTACAAATTGATTAACTTTTAAATAGAATTAAAGTTCTTTGCTTGCGTATTACGTCATAGACACCATGTTGGAGATCTTTATTACCTCCTTTGTCAGAAGTAACTAGATCTAGATATAAACTTCTGCCTTTGTTTATACCACCAACATTGCTGCCCGTAAGATCTCTTGGAAATAGTTAAAAATGTATGCAGTAGGACGCTTGCATGATGGCGTCATTTGACTCCCACTACCATAATGCTTCGCGAATTTTCTTTCTTATTCAAATTTGTATTCCCTCATGAGAATAGTAAGACAATTGGTGCTAATTGACTGAACAAATGAAATAGTGCAAAGGAGTCTGGGGATAAGAGGTCAATGACGCCATCATGTAAACGTCCTATTCAGTCAATAGACCCTTTGCATGTCACGTCAAAGCAGCTCCATCTGGGGGACAAAACAAAAGAATTCCAATCTCCTAAGATATGAAACCTATTGTTTTGTCCTCCATTTTGAGCTGCATTCCAAAGTACTGCAAAGGGCCTATATCAGTGTAGTTCGATGAATGGTTCCAAACGTTTCGGGACGAAACCTTGATAAGTGATTCGGTGTTTAACGATGCACTGGGCGGCAATGCACTGAAGCATCGATACAATCCCGATAGATCTTATTTCCTGGTGGATCTTAAGACACCGAGAAAGCTCAATGGCCGTCTTGCCTTTGTTATTTCTCGCATCGATGTGGGATCCAGCATTGAGTAAGTACTGGAGAACGTTCAACTCAGCGTGGCCTTTGGTTAGTAAGATATGCAATGCCGTGTTGCGGTTGGTATCTAGGGCGTCTATGTCGATACCACATTCGACAAGAAGCTCGCAAACTGCAACGTTCGGGAAGTGAAGATGTTCTTTTAATGAGCTGATGTCGCCGGTTTTAGACGCAACAGCAATGTGCAGAAGAGTTGAATTACTTTCTTTTGTACGAAGACCTAGACGAACAAAGGCCCGAACAATATCAATGGTGGCAGAGGATTCCCTTTGGTTGTTGGAAATTTGGAGCAACGACGAGAAATAGTGGATCAAGTATGGCATGAGGGTGTCGCGTACTTCAAAAACAGCGGAGAAAGTGGTAAGACTTGTCAAAGCACGTTTAACTACCTTATAAACGATATCATACGAAAGGATATCTGCGTTACGACTGAGAACGAACCCGAAAGCATCGGCAAAGCAACGGAATGTATTCATCAGTTCTTCAATCCCGACATTCCCGTTGGAGATATTTTCAAGTTGAATGTCAAGAACGTATAGCCATACGTTCAAACTGCGACAGAATTCCCCGATTTGCGCAAATCTCTCGCCGACAGTGCCTAGCAAGGCAGGGAGACGAGAATTATGCCTTGGCAACAGACGGATACAAATCTGCAAAGCCTGGGCCGTCAGGACGCTGGCATTAGTCTTGTAGTCTTCGAGTTCCGAAGCGTTTCGTGCTTCGATGAAGTACTCGAGGGGAAAAGCGCAGGGCTGTATATAAGGAACTTGAAGCCCGTTGTTTTTACGAAGTGTCATAGCTTCCTGCCAAAAACCAATGACTGAATTGGTGTCCCAGTCTCTCGCGATGTCTTTCGCCAGGAAACCGACACCCAAGAGCTCAAAGGCTTCTACCTTCTCCTGCGTCGAGAGTCCAGGAAGGGTGTTAATCAATGTTCGGGCCATGGCGTCATTCCCTTCTAATGCCGCTGCCCAAAGTGCTGTATCTCCATCATTATTAGTCAAAAGCGGTCCTCTGGGATTTGTTCCCATAAGAAACGTCATTGATAACAGGTCTCCAGAACGAGCGCATTTGTGAAACGCAGAGTCGCCGTTTTCACCCGTGAAACTGGTTACCAAGTCGCCACCGCGTTCATAGAAAGCCTCGACTGCATGTCCAAACCAGACCTTGGTTTTCAAAGCCAACATAACAGGAGACAAGCCTTCTTTGTTTTTAATATCGAGATTAGACCCGGCGTCTAAGAGAAGCTCTACGCATTTGCGATGGCCAGAAAATTCGCGGTAGAACTTGATACACATGTGTAGCGGTGTGTTACCATCCTCGTCCTGCACGTTGACTTTGGATCCTTTCTTCAGAAGTAAAGGTACTATTTTTTCATGCCCTCTCTTGCATGTTATTATGAGAGGCGTGACTCCCTTGATGTCTGCCAGTGCTGGATCTGCTCCTTCGTCAAGTAAGATTCTTACTATCTCAGCACTGCCTCTCTCACACGCCAACATGAGGCACGTCTCTCGATTCTCATTACCTTGGTTTATTTCGTAGTTATGGGGAAGTTTCTGTGATCCTGAAGGTCCCGAAGCCTTGCCAAATTCATTCTTCAGGCGCTGCTTAGCTATGTTCCTAAGTAGAGCTGTGACAATAGAAGGATAGCCTTTGGCGCAAGCGAGCATCAGAGATGTGCTACCTCGCTGCGTGGGCAAGCAGAGGTCGGCATTATAGTCCATCAAGTGCTGAAGACTTGTCTGACTGTTTGACAAAGCACAGAAGTGAACGGCTGTCAGTCCTTTCGATGACCGCTCGTTCACTTTGGCATTGCGCTGTAACAGCAGCAAGGATACATCAGAGTGGTTTTTCTCGCAGGCAAGCATGAGCGGTGTTATACCGTCAGCTGTCTTGGCATTAACATCTGCTTCGTGTGACAACAATTCATGAAGGAGGCTTAGGTTGTTAGCAGCTGTTGCGCAATGCACTAAGCCAAAACCTTGGTTATCCTTCACGTTTAAATCAGCGCCAGAGTTCCTCAGCAAGGCAAATGTTCCTAAATGAGCATTCCAACAAGCCACCATTACGCAGGTATTCCCATCCTGGTTCTTTTGATTGACATCAGCACCGTTAGCCAAGAGGTATCTCACAACCTCGGTATGCCCGTTAAAAGAGGCAGCTCTAAGAGGCGTGGATGATGTTAAAGTAGAATGATTCACCTCCGCACCTCTCTCAATAAGAAACCTTACTACACCAATATGACCACCTAAACAGGCCATCCAAAGAGCTGTACAGCATTCGATAAGATCCTCTTCCACTTTGACTGTCCCCTCCTGCTCTAAATCCACACCATACTCGTCTACTAAGCACTGAACCACAGCTAGATTCCCATTTTTGGAGGCTGTGATAAGAGGAGTTGCTCCATCGATCCTTGAATTCAGTAAAGATGCTCTTTTGCTATGTGGCACTGAGCTCAATACTCGACGCAACTCGGAGACGTCGCCTACTCTAGAGGCATCGTTGGTTCGTAAGAAGGGAGAAACAAGAACTGAAAGTCAATGAAATTTTGGTCACAATTAGGATTACTTGGAGAACACGAGAGAAAGCAAGCAAAAAATAATCACGGGCTCGCAGAAACAAAGTTGGAAGAGCGAGAACACTCATTTTGGCGCGAAAATAGGGAGTCAAGCTCGAGTATGGTGTACAAAGAATAGCAAAATGTAGTAACAAGTTTGTGGGGTTAAAAGCAAGGCTACAAATGTACATCAGCAGCCTATAGTTGCCATTGATTTTGACTTTAAATCTAGCATTTTCCAAACTACCAACTGGTAAATGAAGATATCTTATTTTACATGGCATTTTAATTAAAAGCAAGGTGAAGAAAAAACAAAAATAAAGAAAAATATTTAACTACAAGATTTGTGATCAGCATAATATCAGAATACACTGCTGCAATTTTCATAAACATGCCAACTCTGCGTCTCCAAGTTGCATGCTGAAATTTGGTTTTTCACTGCCATCAATCAAACCTAATCAGTTGGTACCTTTCATATTTTGACTGACGGCAGCAAAAAAACAAATTTCAGCATGCAACTCGGAGACACAGAGTTCGTATGTTTATGAAAATTGCAGTAAGGACTGTGTGAGAAGTAGAAGCGGGCCTACATCTGCCGTAGCTTCATTAACCATTGCGAGTCTAGTGGTGTCTGCACTGAATATTAGCATGTGGTAAGAAGAACATGAGGAGTAAAGGTTCCTTGTAGCTGTTATTTTGATTCTTCATTGTGAGCTATTAAAGGACATAAAATAAAGATACAGAAACTTGAGCATTAACTACCCAAAGTGCTTTAGGTATTCTGCTAACACGTTACTACCGGTAGCTGCCTTGAAGCCATTAAGAATATTCGAGTGGGATTTGATCAGTGAACTTAAAGTTTAAAATTCATGTTGTGCAATGTCAATTGCTCTCTTTAGGGATGTTTAAAAAAATACAGTTTGACCTATTAAGTGGGTGTCTTATATTCAACACGTAAACAAGATTTAAAAAATGCATTTCACAGTGGCATATCCACTAATAGTGGCTGGCTCTCAAATGTATGACTTAATTTTTACTAATTTACTGTATATTATGTAACCTCCATTCTTATAAATTTAATAGATAGCCTCTTTCTTTCCATCCTAAGATTTGTTTTTAAAAATTAAAGTTGTTTGAAAATTGAGTCAAGCACCTGGAAAGAAGCTAGGGAATTCAACTTTTCTTTATGAAGTAGATGGGTAAAATGCTTTAAAATGTTTTGAAAATAACATTTAGTTGTCATTTTCAGTGCCACTCGTGTAGGAGCATATTAATTAAAAAGCTTTATGCATTGGTAAATATATTTACATAACAAAAAAGAACATTGTAAAATGATAATTTATTGAGACCATCTGGGAAGATGTTTGCTCTGATAATGGTTTTTGTCGACAAAATGGTAAAAATAGTTTGTACAATCTTATACTTAAACAAAAATATCAATGAGTGAATGAATAAAGAATTGATAAATGGATGAATCAATTAATGAAAACGATGGATGGATGGGATGGATGGATGGATGGGATGGATGGATGGGATGGATGGTATTGATATGTTGTGGATAAATTTACTGTATAGATGGATGGGAGTGGTTAGATGGATGTAGGGAATGAAAGAATGAATTCATATGATATGATATGTTATGAATAAATGTATAAATGACTGGGTGAATATAATGAAAAACAGATGATTTCTCTACGATATCTAGTTTTACCTGGATCCTCTTGCAATCTCAGTTGAGATACCCTTATATCAACCACAGGTATAATATCTTCCTTATTGACTTGAATACCCTTCACACCCAAAGAGAACAGCCAGTCCTTCTTCCACGCTGTGCAGTGCCTTAATAAGGGCACAACCTCACAAGGCAGTTGAAAAATAATCTTATTCTCTGTACCCCAAGTTTTTCCAATCCAAGAAACCTCAGATGGTACAAGCTTCAAGGATTTATAAAGAACTGTTTTGAAATTTAATAACTTTTTTCTGTCAAAGTTGTGAAGCTCCTCCTTCAGGAAGAATGAAATAACTGATCTTTCATCTAAAAAAAAGTCAGGGTTAAGGTCTAAGTCATATGAACGAAATAAATAGGTGGTGTAAAATGCAAGTTATGGGAGAGTGGGGGGGGGGGGGGG